CCCCCCCCCCCGCACTGCATGTAGCACACACCAACCCTGCTTCGGGGTTTGCACTGCACACAGCATGAAGGCTGGACCCACCATAGTGTATAACACAAAGGGTCTGTACACCCCATGTGGCACTCTGCTGGACCAGCCCTGCCTGCCAGCTACAAGGCCAGGCTGGATTGGGTGCTAAGCTGTTCACATGCACCAGAGCCCACATACGGAGCTGGTCCACATTCAGCCTGTGCCACATGCTGCCCCCCTGTGCTGTGTGTAATGCCAGATCCAGCCCTGCACAAGTGCCGCATGCAGCGCACGGGGCTGGTGCATACCCACAGGCCATGTTTGACACCCCTGATTTATAGTAATGAGAGATAGGAAAGACACATATTAGGAATACTAGTATGTCCTCCTGCAGGTGGAGGGGCATGGTTATATACACAAATTAGAGCCATTAGCTTTAAGAGGCTGCAGAAGTGACAGGCCTCATGGCCTATATACCTCCAACCTGCTAAAATAAGTTTCTCTCCTCCTCTTCCTCTTTCAGATGTTCCATATGCTACAAGCACATGGGACTAAATTCTTTCCTGGTGGGCTTCCATTGTTGACTGTTGTTAGCCATTTTTTTAGATTAACAGACCTAAAATATAAAACCTAAAATGGCTTTTAAAAAAATATCTTCCTACTACGTGGGGGAAAATGGTCTTCCTTTCAAACTAAGGGTAGCTATAGGCTCACAAAATCAAGCCCAAAGTTTGGTCATCTAGTGCTAACGAGCTCAGTATGATTTTGCATGTGCTGCAAGCCTTTTGCTCCAAGGATTCCCACACTTTGAATTGACTCACCCCATCTGTGACAATATATCCCTGATAATTATCATACATGAGATAGGAAAGAATGTTCTTTATCTCTGCCACGCACCTGTTTTTCTTCCTCTCTCCACACCATGCCTTAGTTTACCAGTTTTGTTTATCTCGTTGTAACAAATTGCACATTAGTATCAGCCTGAATGGATTTCTGTATCTCTATGAAGCAAACATTCCTGTGAATATTAATGAACCTATAGCTCCATTTCACATGATTAGAAAATGTTGTATTCAGTGGCGTTTGTCAGAAGATGCTATTGAAGCATTTGAAGCCTCCATGATAATCTATCTGCATTTGATGTAGAGGTGCACAGGAGAGTTCCACCAGTGACCCTGACTTCGTGGTAGTGAACGGTGTTCCTGTCATGTTACCTTCCTACGACGAAGCTGTGAGCAGTGGTTTGGACAGCTTGGCCCCAGGATACTACTCATCTTCTTCCGGGCAGGGGCATGTTTTGCAGACGGAAGATCAGAACCCTCCTGCTTATCCAGGCACAGCAGATGCACATACATTGCCTAGTGAATTTGAAACCTGTGACAGCATATCAGGCTCCTCTGAACTTCTCCAAAGTTTATATTCATCTTCTGTGTGCCAAATGGGAGTGCACCCTGTTTCAGATAGAACTGATGTGATCAATAGTGCCACCGGGGAGGCTGCATCCTCAAGTCCAAGTATCGATATTGCAGATGGTAAGTTTTGCTTTGATATGATAGTACGATGTGTGTTGAAGGCAGTTGTCCAGAAATACACAAGCCACATGTTGTGCTTCAAGGCAAGGCCCCATAGCCAACCTTGTTTTCTGTGTCTGTTTACATTCACTTCATTTATACTTTTTTCCAAAACAAATTCTTCACTGTTCTTTGGGCTTTTTATAGACTCCTAGCTAGGCTTGATTCTCCAGCAGTGGGATGGAGACAAATCCTTCTCCCCATAGCACACAGTGGTAGCTGTGTCACTTCAAGGAGAGCAGTGACAGGTGGATGTGAACAGCAGTGGATACACCTGTGATGTCTCCTCTCTTCCCCTTGCATTACTGATCTGCCCAGCTTGGTTCCATGAAGTCCCTTTCATGAGTCCCTTAAGTCCTTCCCATTTGACTCCTTTACAGGCCAAAGCACACTCAGCTATTATGAGTGATTGTACATTAACAAATTGGTCCTGTCTGTATGTATAGCACAGAAACTCTTGAGCATCTAATGCAATTTTTCCCTCTTCTTTTGTCTTGACAAATCCCTACTACAAATATTAGGGAGCCCAGACTAATTGTTCACTCTAGCAATTGGGTACATATCACTCCCTCTTGCCAGAACCAAGTTACAAGGACTTGCATCAAGATGCTGAGAGGGAAAGTGGTATAAACACAGTCACTTGAAATTTTAGGCCCTGGCCATGTAAATGTTCAGACATTGGAACACAAAATAAGATGAATGTTTCCAGGAGGCTGATTTTTTTGAAGGCAGCAATGTCATGTGCTCTTGTTTACTTTTATATAACTCATAAATATGTATTATTGTTGCTGTTTTGTTGTTGTTGTCATTGCTGCTAAGTGACCATGAAGGTGTATTTCCTAGAGCAGAAAAATTGATGATCCCCTACCTTGAGGTTTCAGTCTTGCAATCTTTAATGGTTAGCAAGGCTCTGTCTGGATCTAGTGTTCTACCTCCATTTTTCCAGTTACAGAACTGAAGCCTGATGTGCTGATCCTGTCATGGGCTCCTTGTTGATAGAAGTCTTCCTGTACAGAATTCATTGCAGGACTGAAGCCAAATTTAAACAGGATGTAAGGGCAAGAGATTCCAAGGGGGAAGGAAAGGTGGTTGTAATGTCAGTAAGTCTGTGGCTACTTGATGAGGGCTAATGCATGGAGGTAGTAAAGGGTATAGAGTAAGCTTGAGTTTTATAGGGATTTTTTGCTTGTATGTTTTGGAGTTTACAATGGATGCTTTAATTGTCTGCTTTCCTCTAGGTGTTCTGTTAGAAGTGGGGGGGACTAGTATGAGAATATGCTGCCAAAATTATTCATAATTGCAGACTGTCATATTGCTTGTTTGCAAACTGTGTAGAACTGTGTAGCTGTGTGAGATGGTATGCACCAAACAAGTAAAAGGGGGTCCCTGCCACAAGACAATTACAGTCTTAGATCAATAATTCTCTTTTTTTCCTTTGTATTCTAGAAATTCCATTGATGGAAGAGGACCCTTAACCTGCACAGGATTTGCTCCTGATGTGATCACACTTTGGGGGAAATGAATCCCACACGTGTATGCAAACACACACACACACGTGTGTGTGTGTATGTATGTATACATATAAAGACTGTTTAATGATTTGGGGGAGGGTATTTTTCCTTCATATGAATCTTCCACATGATGATGCCACCTGATTGTGTGCACATCTTAATCTACAGTGAGGTTAACAGTGTCAGCAATTCACAAGCAGCTTTATAAAATGAATCCTGGGGATTTGATGAGACCAGACACAGAAAGAGCTATGGAGTTTGGAATTGAAATGGATGAACCTCTGCATCTCAGCAAGTCATATGTCTCTGTAGAAACACCATTGGATTTTAATACTAACTGCCTCATGAAAGCATGTCACATTACATATATTTGCTTAGAAAGGCTACTTTAACTCTCTGCAGACCCAGTTTATGAAGCTTTATAAGTTTTGTTTTGTTTTGTTTTTTTAATAGTGTGGAAATCCAAACAAAAAAAGGGGAAAGATCCCCTTTGATTTTCCTATATTAACCAGGTTTATAAGAGGAAGCTTTGGATTTAATTCTTGGTTCTTGGTGACTTTATTCCTGATCATGACTGCAGAAAACATAACAGCAAAGATAGGACTCAGTGACTTTGACAGTGTGATAATGAAGAATATCTCTCTCTCTATATATAAACTGTTGAAAGAAGAAAAATAAAACAAAAGAAAGAGACAGGCTCCAGTTCAGATAACGATCTGATATTTTTTTTTAAAAAAAAGTAAATTAGAATTTATATCATATATAACATTCAAGGTAAAGTATGACTATTTGTATTTATGCAACACTTCTGTGGTTATATTGCATTTGATAAATCCTGTTATACAAAGAATAATATAGGACATTTTAAAATAAAAAAATAATGGTCTGGGAAATGTTGAAATACTGCCCTCTTTTCAACATTTCTGACATCATCCCTTACAAGTCTAAATAGTGGAGTAGTCTACAGTCATAGCCCAAAGCACTGCAGTATCCTTACTTTGTATGGTAGCGTTCTGGGCTATTACTGTAGAATACCAGACTACTTTTTAATAAAATAAAGGATACTTCAGCACAGTATTTCAGTGCTTTTCTCAGCCACCATCCTGCCTCCAACTGACCTTTGAAGAGCTTGTTCCTAACCAAATGCTCTGCTACCTTTTTAGCTTCCATGTGGTAGAAGTTGAAAGGAAGCAACAAGGCACTCTCAGCTTAAATGCACATATATGGATACAAATAGACAAGAGGTATAGCTTAAAAATTCATTGTGCACGCAACAATGCTGAAACAGGATGGCTTCCTTTAAGAGCGTGGCACACAGGCCTGTCATGCTGCTTGTGGCTCTTCACTTCTCTGTTTGGAGCTGGAGCACTGCCTAATCCTCTCAGACAAATCCTGTGTTAATGTTACACTCTTACAGTAGGATGGGATAGACGTTACTTGTCAGGAATGTTCCTCACTGTTTCACCTGGCTTTGAATACTGAGCAAATTTTCCATCTCATTTCTTTGGTATTGTGCGAATGAACTATACAAATGTGTTAAATTTACAGTTTGTTAAGCAATAACTAACCATTATCTCAGATGATACAGATTGTCCTTTTCTGTGGGCTAATTCAAACAAAATAAGAAATGTGGGGACAGCTTTTGATTCCAGCTACTGGAGTAAAAGGCATGTTTCTTTTGATATCAACAATGTCACCTTGGATTGCTGGTTTTTATAATATTTATTTGCATTGTGATAGTGTCCTGAGGCCCCCATTCATAGATCTGGGCTCTGTTGCATTAGGTACAGTACACACCAATAAGAAAGAGATTGGCTCTGCCCTGAAGAGTTCATGATCTAAGATTATGCCATGACATACAAGTGGATTCAAGGAACAGCCAGATGTAACACAATTTAATAATGCAAGAATTTTTGTTCTAATCTCAGTTACTCCATGTGCTTCATTATTTTCTATAATTAGCATAACTGAGATCAGAATATAGAGCATGATATTGAAAGGTAAGACACATGCAGTACTATCTTGCATTGTTGCTTAAAAGTGACCTGTAAATTGTTTTGATAAAGTTCCTTCAGTTGCTTCATACCTGTGAGATTTCCCCCATAGTCAATCCCGTATAGATATTCAGTATATAATTAGCTTAAATATTTCTTCCCCCACCTCACACTAGGTCTCGTTATATTGAGTTGTGTTTGTGTTGCCAGTTCCTGGTCCAGTTTGTCAACTGAGCGTTCATTATTTGATGTGATACCAACCATGGAAGACCTGTGGTGCATAGGATCAGTTAAGTGATTTGCATTTTAAAATATTATTGCACAAATTCACAAAATATTAAACATATTCCAATTACCCTGTAAAATATAGTAACATTTGTACTCACTGCTGTCCACAGTCTTGTGGGTTAACAGGCTGTGAAATCTGAGTCCTTGTGAAATTTCACATCTCCTCTATGTTTATTTCTGCTTGGCTAATGTGTGTCTAGCCACTCTGACGTTTACCTTGCTGTGCACGTTGCATTGCAGTCAATCTACCTAGATGGCCAAAATGGGCATCTCAAAATGGGTAGTTTATGAAATGTGTATGGAGAGTCGCGATTTATTTGGCCATTCTTTTTTCTGTAGAATTGCAGAATTAAGAAGAATGCATCAAAACATGCATAAGTGAAAGTTGCCTATTTGTCTATAGGCAACCATGTAGGAGTATTATGCTGTATTAAATGTGATCTGCAGAGGAAACACTGGTAGGGTTTGTACCCTTGTTTGTTTTCTTTGATGTATAGGGCAGCCTGAAATGGATTCCTTTGGTTGGTTGGTTGCTTGTTGCTTATTTGAAGGGTTTGGCAAACCTCTTCATTGTTTGCACCACAGTTGAATTGTCAAGACTGTTCAATAGAGCTGTTGAAAATTCCCCTTTGGAAATCCAGATCTTGCCTACTCTTATTTGTCTCTTGGAAAATTCTTTAGATGGCTGGAGAACTATACAGAAGTTTTGCCATGGCAGGGACTCCAGGCTGGGAGGAGATACTTTTTTAAGATGGTTTAAAAATATAGGTTTTTCATGTTGAAAAGGTATTACCAAAAACACATGAAAAAAGCTCTTTGTTAAAGATTCAGCACCCAAGTGCCTTCAGTTAAAATTGAAGAGCTCGTGTATCGCAATTCCGAGATCTCCAGAGTTCTCCTGCAAAACCTAGAGGCTAGGGACAGAAGTTACACATAAAACAGTTTAAGTGATCAGAAACTGGTTTCAACCTGTAACAGAACAGAAGTTCAGTGCACATAAACCAGTTTCAAAATGGCTGAAACTGGTTTAAGATACTGCATTTAACCAGGTTTATTTGACTTAACTGATT